TTAGAGAAATGCAGATCAAAACTACAATGAGGCATCACCTCACACCGGTCAGAATGGTCATCATCAAAAAATCTACAAACAATAAATGCTGGAGAGGGTGTGGAGAAAAAAGGAACCCTCTTGCACTGTTGGTGGGAATGTAAATTGATACAGCCACTAGGGAGAACAGTATGGAGGTTACTTAAAAAACTAAAAATAGAACTACTATATGACCCAGCAATCCCACTACTGGGCATATACCCTGAGAAAACCATAATTCAAAGAGTCATGTACCACAATGTTCATTGCAGCACTATTTACAATAGCCAGGACACGGAAGCAACCTAAGTGTCCATCGACAGATGAATGGATAAAGAAGATGTGGCACATATATACAATGGAATATTACTCAGCCATAAAAAGAAATGAAGCTGAGTTATTTGTAGTGAGGTGAATGGACCTAGAGTCTGTCATACAGTGAAGTAAGTCAGAAAAACAAATACCGTATGCTAACACATATATATGGAATCTAAAAAATAAAAAATGGTTCTGATGAACCTAGGGGCAGGACAGGAATTAAGACACAGACGTAGAGAATGCACTTGAGGACACAGGGAGGGGGAAGGGTAAGCTGGGACAAAGTGAGAGAGTGGCATGGACTTATATATACTACCAAATGTAAAATAGATAGCTAGTAGTAAGCAGCCGTATAGCACAGGGAGATCAGCTCAGTGCTCTGTGACCACCTAGAGTGGTGAGATAGGGAGGGTGGGAGGGAGACGCAAGAGGGAGGAGATATGGGGATATTTATATATGTATAGCTGATTCACTTTGTTATAAAGCAGAAACTAACACACCATTGTAAAGCAATTATACTCCAATAAAGATGTTAAAAACAAAAAGACAGTAAGGATACATGTTATAATCCTAGACTTAGGATAAAGCAACCACTAAAAAACATAGAGTTATAGGAAGGAGGCCAACAGAGAGGAAAAAATGGAATACCATAAAATACATGGTAAATTTGAAAGAAGGTAGAAAAGGAAGAAAAAAAGAATTAAGTCAGTTAGGACAAATTGAAAATAAATAGCCAGAAGACAGATTTAAGCACAAACACACAGATTATTCCATTAAATGTTAGTAAACTAAACACTTTAAGACTGAAGAAAAAAAAAAAACTAAGTACTCTTTTCAAGAGACACACTCTAAATATGAAACTAAAAGGATAGAATAAGATAGAATAAATCTTAATATCTGGTAAGGTAAATTCCCCTACTTAATTTTCAAAAATTTTTTGTTTTATGCTTTATACTTGATTATTATAGTTTTGTTAAATTATATTAAAACATTTTCTGAGATGTTAATTATAATTCAATTCCATTATAGATTAATTGGGAGAGAAGTGACATGTTTATAATGAGTTTTCAAATCCATGGATCTGGAGTATCTTTTCATTAACTTAAGACTTCTTTTAAGTCCTTAAATTGTTTTACAGTTTTCTAGGAACATATCTTCGCCTCTTTCATTAGATTCACTCTTAGATACCTTATCATTTCCATTGTTACTATAAATGAGATCTTCAAAAAAATAACATTATTTTTTAAAAATCTTATTCTTTACAAGGAATATTTCTAACATTTCACCATTAAATGTGATGCTCAGTGAAGGTTTTGTTAGACACTGTTCATTGGGTTATAGAAATTCCCTTCTCTTTAGTTTGTTAGCTTTTATTTTTTAAGCACAAATGAACGTTGAATTTTATCAAATGCTCTTCTAACATTTACTAAGGTGATCACATAGATGTTTCTACAGGTTAATGTGATAAATTAAATCAAGATTTCTAATGTTATAGCATCCCCAGTTCTCAGCATAAACTCTATCTACACAGTCAAGGTGTACTGGTATTTTTATCCATAGTTGGATTCAGTTTGCTATTATTTTTAGAAATTTTGCAAATATATTTCTAAGTGAAATTGGCCTATAATTTTTTTTGTTGTTATTTAGTCTATGTCTGGATTTGGAATTTAGACTGTACCCTGAACATAAAGAAGCTGGAGAGCTTCCCTTATTTTTCTATTTGCTGGGTCATTGGATCCTATAAGCCTAGTAAAGTGTTCGTATGTAGATTTTTGACTATTTTCAATTCAGTAGTTCTTTTCAGGCTTTCTACACTTTCCTGAGTCAATTTTGAAATCTGTATTTTGAGAAAATTCTTTCTTCCTAGATTTTATATTTATTGGCACAAAGTGCATTTTCTATTGTAATTTTAAAATCTAGTATTGATAGTGTTAAAAGCTGTGGTAAGATTGGTCAAGTGTTAAAAGCAGTGGTTCAGAAAAAAGTATATATTCGAATATGCTTTTATTTTGCCTTTTTTCTTGCCAATCTTACTACAGCTTTTAATACTACTGATACCAGAGAACAGGTGTTATATGAACACTGTTAACATTTAGTTTGAAGACAAAAAAATACGGTGAATTCCTGGAAATGGAGGCTGATGTACTTGGATGTGAATTTTCAACAAAATTCTAAAATTACTAAATTTCATTATTATTAAAAGGATAGCTTTGAAAATCTAAACAAGAAAGTAGTAAAATTGGAAAGCAACAGTACCATTAATTCACAAGTTATACCAAACCTACATATTTCTTTTTGTTTGTTTGATAGAGTTACTACCTATTAGGGATATTCCTGAACATTTCAACAAAACTTCAGACAAAGCATCCCAAGACAGCCTGTGGATGAGATGAATAAATATGGGATGGGTGATAGGCAGTACTTTAGGTAGATATTTATAATTCTTGGAATGGTAATACTCAGAGAATGGTGATTAATGGAACAAAATGAACTGTGTAAGACCTCTACCCTTATCCCATTCAAGATTATTATTAATTAAGGAAGGAAAAAATATGTTTATCAGTTTTGCAGATGACACAAAGCTGTGATGTCAGCTAATATACTGGATGAAAGAATTAGCACACAAAAAATCTGAGCAAGCTAGAAAGATAGGTTGCAATGAATAAGATATTTAATATACTCAGACTTAAAAAATCAATCACACAAGGAACGGCCTAGATCAGGGATTGTCAAACTACTGCCTGTGAGCCAAATCTACCCTGACACCTGTTTTTGTATGGCCCATAAACTAAGAACGTTTTTTACATTTTAAAATATGTTTTCAAAATCAAAATATTTTGTGGCACATGAACGTTATATGAAATATGAAATTCACAGTTCAGTGTCCATGAATAGTTTTATTAGAAATGGCCACACTCATTCATTTATATATTGTCTATAGCTACTTTTGTGCTATAGTGACAGAGCAGAATAGCTGTGACAGACTATAAGGCTCATAAAACCTAAAATATTTATTATCTAGCCCATAAAAAATTTGCCAACCTTTCATCTATAACATGCAGAGGATTAGTTGATTGCAAAGTCACTATAAGGCAAGAGTGTACTATATCTGCCCCCAAAGGTAAAGGAATGTTATTTTAAATTACATTAATGTAGCTAAGAAGGAACTAAATTCTACCAAAATCTTTGAAAACCAACTAAGGGCCAGGCACTGTGCTAGTAATGCAAAGACACTACGTAGTAATCTTTGACTATGTAAACCTAAGACAAAGATGGTGACTTAAGAGTTGTTTTTGCCTTTAAGTTCAGAGTCAAGGAGAATGGACAAACATGAAACTAATAATTTGTTATGTGCAAACAGTGTGATCCACATCTAGAATACTGTGTTCAGTTCTAGGTAGTATAATTTAAGTAGGACATTATCAGGCTTGATATTGTTCAGAGAACAGAACGTTCATGATGATCTATAAACTATGTTACATGGAGGGAGTTGAAAGACTATCGTTTAAAGAAGAGATACTTTAGTGAGAGAAATATGACTACAAGTTTTAATATCACAAGTCTTCACAAATGGAAAAAGGATTTAACTGGACTCAACAAATACGAACTGTAAGCAGGAAGACATCATAGATGTAAGAACTTTCCAGCAAAGTAAAGATTTTTAATCTTTTCCATCCCTGAAAGTGTCCAAGAAGAAGACTAGGTGATAACCTACGGAGGAAACCAGAGAAAGAACTCTTGCACTGGGGTTCTTTTAGCCTGAATGAAATTCTAGGAAAGGTAGATTAGGAACAGATAATGAAGAAACTTGAAAGCCAGGTAAAGATGGTAGGCTTTAGTCTGTAGTCCAGTAGTTCTCAATTGGACTGGGGGTGATTCAGCCCCCCAGGGGACATTTGTCAATGTCTAGAGCCAGTTTGGCTGTCATACTGGGGGTGGGGGGCTGATGCTATTGGCATCTAGTGGGCATTTCATGATGCTGCTAAATATTCCACAATGCACAGGACAGTCCCCCAAATCAAATAATTATCTGACAGAAAATGTGAATAATGCAGAGGTAGAAAAACCCTGTGGTAACCTACTTGGCAGTGGAAATGTGGGGGATGGAGACTTAAGGACAGAATTTGCTTTAAAAAAGTAATATGTTTTAGGGAAATATATCTAGCATTGATGTGTAGTAGATAAATAAGAGCATGTATTCTCCAAATGTTCAGTTCTTTTCTGACGTCACATTCTTACCACCTAAATTATCTGAAGGAAGCAAATATGTACTTTAATACAAAACTCATTTCATACCTCCTATAGCCACCAATACCCTTCCTTTTTCCTGTGTTGGATGGAATTATTTAAATAACAAGAAGCGGCAGAATTTGGGTTCACTTTAAGGTTTCTTTGTTGCGCTTAATGCGAAAGAGGCACACCAATCCCGAAGAAACCCATAACACAACTCAACAGGTATGTTGCTTCCTTAACTCCAAAATGCAGGTTCAGGATGTAATCTAACCCCCCATCCTGGGATGCCTTACCTAACTCACACGTGTTCACTCAGGGCCTCAGTTCATCAAAGGTGGTGCACTCTGGGGTGCCATCCTCTGCATTTTTAAAACTCCCTGACCCTGGACTTCCCTGATGCCTTATCCTCCTCTAAACCCAGTGCCACTTACCCAACCCTTTCACCTCCAGTTCACGTAACCTTTCTTTCCAAAAAGCTTTCTGCGCCAAGCCTTCAGTTCACTTTCTTCTTGTGGTCAGGAAAGAGTACCCCTTGCGTCTGGTACTCTTAGAACCAGACTCCTCAAACCCTTTCCCATAACATCATCCACTGGGAACTTTTGTGTAAATTAGAAAACGGCCATCCTCTGCCTCCCCAGGGCCAGGGCCTATAGCTTGGTATCACTTGAAAGGCAACCAGCCCTGACACTACCCTTTCACCTCCGTCCCACACCCTTCTACTCAGTTCAAGACCATTTCAATAGCTCCAAGGGCCCTAAACACATACTTTTGGACGCCCGGCCCAAATTACATAAAATATATGAACCCACATTCTACATCAAATATAATTCTTAAGTATATGGGTTACGTTCCAGTTAATAGGTTACATTTGGATACATTTATTAATTTCTATTTGGAACTGATTTTCCCTTTTGGGGGTCAAAACATTATTTCTGGCTTCCAGAAAGTTCGTGGGCTGGCACTAGTGTCTCTAGGACTCAGGGGAGTGAACAGACCTGCGTCATGCGTCAGTCTTCCACCATCCCGGTCACCTCACCGCCCGCCCACCGTCCGCCTCCGCGCCGCGCGTCTCCTCACCACCCCAGCCACGCTCGCTCTCTCCCTCCTCCACCAGCATCCCCCACCTCCGTCGGCCTCGCCCAGCCAGGCTCCCACCTCCCCCGGTGCCAGCCGAGCCCGCCGAACCACCCTGCTCGCCTGGGCCTCCGGTTAGCTCTAAGCGCGCTGATTGTCGGGCCTCGAGGTCTCCCTACCGCCCCGCCCCCTTCCCTTTCCGCAGGCCTCCGCGGAATTCGCGGGCGCTCAAATCCTACTCCCGGATCTTCGCTCCACCCCGCCCACAGGCTCTGCCCCGTCCCGCCCCACCCTGCGCAGCGTGCCGGTCCCCAGCTCCGCCCCGCTCCCGCCCAGCCTCCTCCGAGATCCCAGTCGCGCACCGCTGTACTCCCGGTTGTACGCGCCCAGTCTCCCTCAGGCCCCGCCCCCAGACCACGCCCCCGTGCTCTTCCTTACTGCGCGGGCTGAGCTCCGCAGCCCCGCCCAAGGGCCTTTCCCTAGGCAAGCGCCCGAGCACACGCTGCTTACCCTCCCCCAGCTAAGCTGGCTCCCTGGGGCTTCTGAGACCCACGGGACCCGCCCTCGCAAGAGCACGCACGCGCAGTCCCCACCTCTCCCTGCTCAGAGCCCTAGGCCCTCAGGTCGCCAGCCCCGGGTCCGGCCCCGCCTCCAAGCGCGACCCCGCCCCTCATGCCGGGTATCGCGCAAGCGCGCCTCCACTGCCCAGCCATCCCCCCGCCCCCGACGGCCCCGCGGTCCCAAGGCGCAGGTCGCCCCCAGCCCCCTCCCTTCTCCCGCACACTCTCTGTCCCACCCTCCCTAGCTTTGTGCCGGGGGCGCGGAGCCGCTTCCCCCTTCAGCCGCGCCGCGGGAGGAGGGAGCCGTCAGCGAGGAGCTGCTGCTGGCTGCCCCAGGCAGGGGCACAGGTAGGTGGCGGCCGCGGGCTGGGCCGCTCACCGAGCCCGGGGCTGCGAGTGGGGGCGGGTGTGAGGTTTGAGGGAGGGGTGGAATGGGGGGAGGGGGAAGACCGAGAAGGACGGGGCTGGGGTGTGGTTGGGTGAAAGGTGTGAGGGTCTAGGGTTGTCAGAGACGGGTTTAAGGGTGGAGTTGGGGTGCTGGGGTAGTGTATGGGGGCGTGTGAGACTTGGGGTTCGGGGCCTGGGTGGGAAAAGGGAGCAGGATTAGCTTGGGTGGATTTGGGGAGGGACATGCGTGGGAATTTAGAGAGAGAGGGAGAATTGCAGTACTGGGGAGGGGGAAAAAGTGGGATTAGAAGAGTGCAAGGAGGAAAGGATCTAGGATGGGAATAGGAGAAGGGGTGGGGTTTTGGGGGCAGGGAGAAGTTGTTGGGGCTGTGAAGTTGGGCATAGTGAGCGTGAAGGATTTTGAAGGTTGAGGGCAGAAGACCAGGAAAAAGATGGAGAGTTTGGGGTCCTGGGAGAGGGAATCTCAGAATGGGAGGAAGGGAAGAGTACATGGTGAAGGACAGAGGAAGAGTGCATGGGGGTTAGAGAGGGCGCGGGTGGAATGGTGTGGGGGGAAGGAAGGAGAGCCAGGTGGAGGTGGGCTTGCAGCTGGGCGACAGGGAGCCGTATTTCAGAAGGGATGGAAGGATTGGAAGGGCGTCAGGTTTGAGAGGTGGGGGCAGGGGAGCTGGGCGTGGGTGAAGGGGGTGGATTAGGAATTTTGGTGTGGAGATTGGATCTTGTGTGAGAAGCTTAGAGTTGGCAGGTAGAAAAGCTGTGAAATGTCAGGGTGTAGGAGAGATTGGCCTGTTCTAAGAGGGAAGTAAGGAGCTAGGTATGGTGAGAAGGCAGGTAGGAAAGTGCAAGTTATAGGACAACAGAAATAAGTTGAAAACTGGATAATGGTGGTGACCCAGAACAATAAACTTGAGATTGTTAGTTGGTTATTGGTGGTTTGGAGCTAGTTTCTGTTCAGGTTTTTATGTTAGAAACTTTCTTCAGAATACTGCATTTTCAAATAAACCAAGGGTGTCTGCAGCCTTGGGATGACGGCCATGGATTGACAGGTGTTTTCCTGGTGTGTGGATTTGGGTAATTTCTGCCCTGGCAGAGGAAGGAGGGGAGGCCTCAGTGTAGCTCTGTCCTGGCTCTGTTCCCACCAACTCTTTCCTCAGTTGTCCACTGTTTTTTTTATCTCCTCCCTCTCTCACCCCTCCCCCCCAGCTTGAGTCAGTGAATACCAGAGGGATCCAACAGGTGGGTGAGATTAATTTTTAACATTTTTTTATCCTTAAGGCTGATGTCATATTTTTATTCTTGAGAGACAGCATCATACAGTGGCAAGAGCTTGAGCTTTGGAGTGATACAGCCTTGAGATTGAATTCTGGCTCTGCCACTTATTAGTTCTGTTTCTTAAGTTACTTTACGTCTCTGAGCGCCTTCATCTGTTAAATGGCGATCCTGACTTCGTAGGATTGTTGAGAATTACAGGAATCATTTAATATAGTGCCTAACAGTGCTTGGCAACTCAGTGGTAGCTTTCACACCCACTATTGTTATCGTCATAATCTTACTATGATTAATATTCCTGGAGGATTGTTAACTTACTTTACCTACTAAAGTTAGGCGTTTTCTTCTCTTTCTTTTCAAATTAGATATCCATAGACTCAGCTCACAATTTTAATTGTCTGCTTCCCTGACTCTGTCCTTCCAGTCCACTTGACTGGATAGTCATGAGTCTTGCTTGGCAAACTGGCTTGAAGATCTAAAAAGCTGTTTAGTTATCAATTATTTTATCTTGCCTCTTATTCAAAGAGGCTGAAGAGAACTGAGTTTTTAATGTAGTAAGGCTACATCTTATTCATTTGATGAAATGACATGCTTCATGGTAACTTTGGCTCATTTGTGGTGACCAAATACTAGAACATGCACTATTGTAATAGTTTTCTATGAGGTTTTATGGGTTACAAAACTCCCTGTCTGGAGACAGGCTTAGAGGCTATCAGAATGCCCTGTTACTCTGTCGCTCTAATATGAAGTATAGCTAATACAGATCTCCACTGGACATTGTTATTCTTTCACATACCAATTACTTAAATTTTCCAGTTCGTGTAGTATTTGTGCCATGGTATAGAATAGGCCCTGTCTCCTGAGGGGCTCCCTTATAATAGACCACTCTGTGTAACAGCCAGGCACAAGCAAAGTCAAGTTACAGAAGCTTTGTTTGGAATTTTCTCACCTTTATGGTTCTTAACCTTGAAAGGCTTAAACATTAATTCAATTCTTAGATCATTTTATAGTACTTCACAAACTCTCAGGAAGCTCCTTACTGTGAGAGTGCAAGATGCACAAATTTAGTAGTAGAAATCAAAGGTCACCAGGATTTCCTGACCATGGTCAGTTCCTCAAGTATCATAGTTGAAGAACAGAGAGCCCTTGGGGTTTCTGGACAGATGATGTGGGCTTACTCTTCAGGAAATATTTGATTTTTTTCATCGTTTAGAAAGAGAACTAGCATTTGATGAGTAATTTAAAAGTAAAATATAGCCAGAACTGTGCCGTTTTTGAAAATGATCCATGGAAGCCGGAGCTGCCAGGATTTGGGGCAGCCTGGGTAAGTGTCCTCACTTTGGTCCCAAGCTGCTTGTGCCCTCTGCTGGATGGAATCAGATTTTTCTGATTTTCACCGGAAGTGGTCATCCATTCATCCATTTGTCCATTTTACTCCAAAGTTTATGGAAGACACTATTGCAGGTGATGGTTAGGGGTACTACAGATAGGCAGACCCTATTTCGTTGCCAGGAAGTTTATAGTGTGCTGATTACTTATAATATGTTCCATAGAATTTGTCTTTCTACTTTTAAAATTAAGTCATTCTTGTTTGGGGCCATATCTGGTATCTACTTTCTGGTCTACAGGTTGAGTAGGACTCTGAATGTCCAAATCCAGAGATAAAGACCGAAAGGGATCTGCTTTATCTCCTTATCAAGATTAAACTCTGTGAGACTGAAGGGGCCAGGTGCTTACCCCTGGAAGAAAAGCTTAGAATAAGTGAAGTATCTCCTCGGCAGCAGGCACTGATTACTGGCGAGAGTATGGGTTATGAGAGCCAGCCAATTTTTTTTGTCTGGTTTTTAGATTTTTTTTTTCCTCCCTGGTAGTACCAGTAGCAATATACTCCCATCATCCTCTTTGCTTCTACCACCTGCAAAAGGGTCTGGCGAGTGGGGGAGGAGTCTGCAGCTGTTGCCTGGTAGAGGAGCTGGCTCCTAGCAACAGTATCAGCAGGCCTTGCAGCTCAGAGTACTAAGTCTGTCCCTTTGAGGTCTCACCCTTCCTCTTCATTTGGTTCAGCAAATATCTGTTGAGGACTTATTCAAGCTAGGCTCTGTGTTGGGCCTGGAAAAGAAAAGAGAGATGAATCAAGTTAAGTGTCGTGTACTCAAAGGGCTCACAGCTTTGGAAATATTAGCAAGTGAACGGACAGTACACAGTGCGAGGTGCTATGTAGAAAGAGACATTGGTGCTCTGGGAAAACCAGACAGATGTGTGCACTAGTGCAGGGGTTAAGAAGTTTTCTCAGGAGAGGGATGGTGGTTGAGCTGAGTGTTAATGATAACTAGGAGTTAGCTAGGTCAGGGAAGCAGAGAAGGATGTTCCAGCCAAAGGGAGCAGGATGTGCAAGGGCCAGTGAGACGAGAACACAGCCAACTTACCTGGGTCGTATGGCTTAGCCAGAGAGTAGGGCATAAGGAGATGAGCAGGGAAGAGCGAGGCTCTCGGGCGTGGCAGGGCCCTCTTTTCTGATGTGCTTTTATACACATAATTATCCTCAGGAGAAACATGGATCATCCTGATACCCACAAACAGGATCAGTGTTTGATCTCCAGAGACTCAGCATTTTTGATCATTGACTTGATTGATTGTTGACACTTTTAAGTGGCTTCAGAGCTACATCCTAGCCCTGCATTGATGCAGAAGAAACTGGGTTTGTTCACTCTAAAAGTCAGTCAGAGTCTTTTAGAGATAATAGCAGCTTTTTGACCTACATTATATTAAGTTTTACCTAAAAATTGTAGCAATA